CTTTGCTGCAACCTTTTACATATTTGAAGGCTGTTATCACGTGTCCCTTCAGTCTTCTCCTCTGAACACAAAGCGTAATTCTTTCAGTTTTCCCTTAGAAGTCATGTTTTCTTCACCTTCAGTTGCTTTTTTTGCTTTGCAGAGGTTACTGTTATGCCAAGCTGGAGTTTTTGTTGTTTTTCACCTGTTTGCCTTGGGGGTATTCATTCTGTTACAAATATGTGAGAAGTGACCATTATCTTCTCTAATCTATAGTTATTTATACAGTATATTCCTGAGCCTGTTTTATCATAAAGTATAGCTCTTAGCCTTGATAAGTAATTTCCCACTATGATATGCTCTTGCAAACAGGGGTCCCTAAGCTATTTATTACTATTATTATTTGCTTTATTTTTCATGAGTAACAAGCTGTCTGTATAACACTGTGAATGAACCAGGCAATTCACAGAAATGGACTGAAAGACATATCCTGTTCATAGAGCTTCCAGATAAACAGGAAGGTGAAGGTAAACACCAAGCCAAACTCTAGTTTAGCCAGGGGGAACAGTGCTGAATAGAGAATGAGAGATTTTATGAGAAGCAGAGATTTTGGGGGAACCTGGAGGAGTGTTTACAGAGATGATAATATCAAGGTGGAACATTGCTGGGATGGATGGATGGATGGATGGATGGATGGATGGATGGATGGATGGATGGATGGATGGATGGATGGAGTGTAGCCTGGCTGGGAGAAGAACAGAGGGTGGAGATGAGGCTGGGAGTGGTGGTGTTTGAGTGAGGTGTCTTTCTCAGGAAAGAGGAGTTGGCTGTAGAGGAGATGTGGGAGGGACAGCAGAACAGAATTGCTGCCTGTGGCATTTCCAAAAGTAACATTTCCAAGCTGCCTCGCTGCTATTTGTTGAAATCAGATGAATTTGGTCCTGATTTCCAGGTCCTTGTGGCTGACTCTCCCACTGGCGCTGTGAAGGGGCTGGAGCAGGGGCTGCTTCTTCCCTCAGGGGTAACCCTGGGCAGCCCTAAACATCTCCCCAGCCTTTCCTCACAGGGAAAAGGCGTGATGGAGTACCTCCATCACTGCTGCTGGTTTTGGTTCCTTATCATGAAGGCTGCATGGGGTTAGCTTGGAAAACAGCTCAGCTGTGTCCTCCAGGCAGTGTGGAGGCTGCTGGCTGCTGAGAGCCCTGCTTGGAAGGGAGGGGAGCCAGCCTTTCAGAGCACAGCTGTAACAGGTCCAATGCTCAGAATGGACATGGACTTCTTGAAGTTTTAACAAATAGACCCTTTTATAGTTAATATCCGTAGTACATTTGTCCATAACACAGGCTGAGTTATTCACAAAAACAGCTACTGCATCACTGTTCTGAAAAGCTCTGAAATTTTTAATATAATGTTTTAAAATCACATGATGGCATGTTAGGAATTACTCCAAGCTACCCTTTGTCTATTATTATACATTTTTACTATATAAAACTGTCTTCTTTTCCATCTCTCTTTGCACATTTCCCTGTCAAATGGAAGGTAAAGCTAAATCTCTAAAATCTGTACTCTCTTCATTTTTCTGCTTCATTTTTTTTCCTTTAACCTTACCTGGAAAATGCACTGGTGAAACCAGTGAGAATACTTTTAAAAGAGGCCATTCATCAGCAGTATACATCAGAAAACTGAACTTCTTTGCCTACTAAAAAGCAAAAAATTATATGTTATTGCCAAGATAGATTTAAAAAATTTGAAGTCCAGGTAGCTGCTTTATTTCCAGGAATTGCTAATGGCAGAGTATATTTTGAGTCAGGGCAATAGTCACACCTATAAAAGTGATTGGTGGCTGTTTGATATCCACGATGTTTTTAAAGTTTGTCTCAGGCTTGCACAGTGAGTCCAGCACTCGTCTGAGTCTCAGAGTGACAAGAGAGGGGCCATGGGCTTAGAGGGAACTGGATCTCAGCAGTGACCAGCTAGAAGAGATGGGAATGCGAGAGTTAATATGATAAAGCAGCATGACTGTGGCTGTAGGAATTATTGTTGTCCAGATTTATACTCCCCCACCACACCCAAAAAATCCACAAACTAATAGGAGAAACTTGGAGAAGTCCTCAACTAAAAATTGCCTTTAATCAAATTATATCCTTTAGAGGATATTTGGATTAATTATATGTTCTAGGGCATGTCAAATCAGTGCCTACAATCACCAGAACTGTTTTAGAAAGCTGGAATGCAGTGAGTCTGTAAGTGTTCCTTAGGACTCTTGGGAATGTGATTTATTTTAGTTTTTTTAATACCTGGGAGTACAGTTGGAGGCAGTAAACTGTCCCTGGATTGCTGCACGGGTAGAATACACTTTACATGTTGTGTTCTCCCTGTGGTGCCTCTGCCTTTGCAGTTCTTGGGGTTTTCCAATTCTGCAGAAATATGAAGGGGTTGAGATGGAGAATCAGAGTTCAGTTCTGAGGCTTTTGGGGGTTGGTAGGTCTTGTAAATGGATAAGCTTGGTGACATCGACCTGACTCGGAGGCTGAGTCCATTCACAGCACACAATGATCATTGTGAACATTGTGAGGAGTGAGGATGCAGCTGTGGATCAGCTGAGGTGTGGTTACCTCTTGCCCCAAAGATCTTGGATATGTCTGGGGCATGAAACTAAGATAACACATGAAGAAAGTCCTCCTAAGAGGACAGAAAAAACCCAACCCTGTGGAGTGTAAAGAAGGTCAAACTCTGGGTCTGTTTATTGTCAGGGAAATGCCCATGAGAACATTGGCTAATAGATGCTTCCTATGCTTATTTTCTCCAACCTCCTGGATTGTCCCCTGCTCTTTTAGATGTAGCCATGCCCTTTCAACCTGCCTGTGCTAGAGAGACACTGCCATGATCTGTGTTCCCTAAAAATGAGGAGGTGCTGAGCAAGCAAGAACAGCAGGGGTTAAATGCTGGCAGGGTTTTGTGAGTCCCTGAGGAGCAGGTCCTCAGCAGGGTCTGTGTCAGCCTGGTGTTTGTTCCACGCTTGGTTGCATCCTCTTTGCTCCTGGGCACAAAGGTGTGGCTTCTGCTCTCAGAACAGAGGGCAATGAAAACTTCCTTCACACAGAAACACAGAATGGTTTGGGTTGGAAGGGACCTTTAAGAACAGCTACTCCAACCTTCCTGCCATGGACAGGGACACGTTCCATGAGACCAGTCGGCTCAAAGTCTCATCCAACCTGGCTATAATTCACCAGAGAGGCCTTTCACATCCCCTTGCCTGATGAGGTGCCATTCCTTGGAGCAGTGCCTAGGCTTCCTAAGGAAAGCAGTAAGCACTCAATAGTCTCTCTCACTGGAAGAGAGAGTTTTATGGTCTTCTCTCAGATTATTTACACCAGTCTATACCAGTTGATATTTTTATGATTTTTTTTTTTAACTGCACCTTGAAATGCAGAGTTCTCCTGTTCCCACCACAGCTGGGCTGGCCAGCAGTGCAGGGTGTGGCTGAGGGAATGTGCACATCATGCAAAAACCGAGTCATCCTGGTTTGTCTGCAATGAATTGACATTGTGAAGGAACAAAAGTCATTCAAACGAAAATTGCCCATTTGCTTTTTGTGCTTGGAGAAATACACCGTGTGTAGTCCTAACAGAGGCATCTTGCATCAAGAGCTGAATTTTGCCTTTGCACCTCAAGAGCTGGAAAGTCACGCGAGCCCGGGGAGTAATGTTAAATAAAACCAGAACCTGCCAGAAGGAATTCACAGTAAAGGGCGAGAGCTTTTTTCCTCGTGACTAAAACACCTGTCACAGCTGCCAAGACTCTGCTAATTACACAATAACTTTATTATATCCCACTTGGAAGAACAAACAATACTTGAAGCTCCAAAAATGAGCAGTCTTTAGACTAGATTAATGCAGGCAGAATGGCTGCATGGAGCTGTGCTCGCCTCGTCCTCCCAGTAGCTCTGGAGAATAAAATGGCTTGAAGAGTCCCTTCTTTGTTGCCAGTGCTACATAATAAAGTAATTGTGCAATTAGAAGCAGATTACTGATGGGTGATGAGCATTTTTAATGCAATGTAGGTAAAAGGCTGGCTTCTCTGAATAAGTTGAAAGCCTAACTGCAGCATCTCTGCTCCTTTTTACTTGAGCTTCTGGTAGTCCCTGGTAGCATACAGACAGGAGAAAAGGAGCGTCACTTGTTGAGTGTGGATTTTCTTCCCATGTTAAAATATTACAAAGCTCTCATGCAAGATTTCACTGTGATCCCTACCTTGTCCAACACCAACGCAGCAAGAATGGCTGCAATGTGTATTAGAGGGTATAATACCAAAGTAAAGCATAAGGGATAGAAGCCTTCCATTGCTCCTGTCTTACATGCCTGATTACTTTGCTTCATTTTCTTGCCTGTCTGATAGTGCTGTGAATTTTGGGAGTCAAGAGAGTAAGGGGAAGATGCTGCCATTTGTGGTGGTGGTGGTGGGAATGAGCCTGAGCTGAGCAGGATCTGCTCCAGTACATTGTGGGTTCCTGTAGGCATCAGTCTGACTGAAGGGCTCGGTGACTTTGCTCAGGTGAAGCTGCAGGAAGGCAAAAAGATGGACAACACATTGGCAGCAGACATCACAAATGTGGATTTGAGGTGAACTAACTCTTTGGGGTTGATATTTCTTCAGTCTTAGCCTGGCTATGATTTCTGCCAAGCTTGTGATGCCAGAGTATACAGGCACCACAGCTATTGCTCTCTCATGACAGCTGTAGGAGAGGACTTTTTCATGACTCACCTCTGATGCAGTGTCACCTGTAGCTGCTTAATCCTTTGGGATTTTCGGCCTGGTACCTCAAAGCCAGGAAAGAAAATTTGAGATGTCTTCCCTACCCTGTGAGCTTCCCAGAGAAACTAAGCCTGGGGTTGGGACAACTGGCAGGATCGCTAGGATGGGCTGGTGGTGCTGCCATGAGCAACCATGAGCGTGTGACAAACAGCCCTCACTGTTCCCTGTCCTCTGCTGTCCCTGACGGCTGTGTGTGCTGCTTGCAGGTCCCGTGGCAGTGATCAGCGGAGAGGAGGATTCAGCCAGTCCTCTCCACCACATCAACCACGGCATCACGACTCCCTCGTCCCTGGACGCCGGCCCGGACACGGTGGTGATCGGCATGACCCGCATCCCCGTCATCGAGAACCCCCAGTACTTCCGGCAAGGACACAACTGCCACAAGCCAGACACGTGTGAGTGCCCGAGCCGGCCACTGCCCCACGGGGCTGGGGATGGGCTGGGGGGCTGGGGGAAGGAGGGCGAGGAGGAAGAGGTTAAGAGGATGAGGAAGAAGAGAAGGAGGTTTTTGAGGAGAGTGGGTCTTGGTATGGTCCAGAAACCAAAGTGAATCTCAGGTCTCAGAAATCACAACATACATGTAGATGCTTCCAGAAAAGACTTTCCACTCTCACCTTCACCTCCCTTCACCCTCCCTCTGCCACTCACCCGTCACCTTCCCCCCTTCCCTGCCTGAAAGTGCCATTCCAAGCCGGGCTCTTCCTCATCAGCTCCAAGCATGAGGTCCCAGGTGTGAGCAGGAGCCCCCTGGGAGCGTGGGGATGGATGTGACCCCTGCTTGGCTGGGGAAAGCACCTGCCTCCCTTTCCTCCTCCAGCAGTTTCCCAGTCATGGGGCTGCCTCTTTGGCTCCCCTAAGGGCCAGGGGGAAGCTCAGTATACATGGGCGTAGGTGTGGTAGATACCTGGAGCTCTCTTTGTCTCCAGGAATTTTAGATGCTGAATGTCTTATTTTTGTGGGCTTCTGTAAAGCTTCTGCATCTTTCCTGTATAAATCTGGGTCATGAACTGGGCTCATTAGACTAGCAGGAGGTGATCAAGTGTCCTTCTCCACTTGCTGTTTCTAAATTCTGAGCATAAAAGAAAAGTGCTGTGTAAAAGGATGCTTTTCTGGGAGTCCTGCACCACTTCCCACGCGAGTGGTGGGATGCAGCCTTCCCCAGCATGTGGCTCACAGGCGGTAGCTGAGCTCTCCCAGGCCTCTTACCAGCTCTGAGGTGCAAGCTGAGCAATGCAGGAGGTTTGGGTAACATTCCTCTCTTGCTATTGCACATCCTTCTGGTGCGTCTTGGTTCCAGGTAGAACTGGAAAAATAAAAGTCCTGCAAAACAAAAGGTGAAAAGCCCTCATCTTGGGCTGTCTCTGTGGCCCAGCCAGAAGCAGGGCGTGCTGTGCTGGTGTCATCTCTGCTCTTCCCTTGGCTGCTGCTGATGCACAGGTGAAGGAGGCAGAACTCAGCCCCTGCAAGCAGGGAGAAGGCCCATCTCCCAGTCTGCAGGAAGCCATGTGGCATTGAATGCTCAGCAGGAGCATGCTGCTCCTGGCCTCCATTCCTCCTCTGGGGCAAGGGGAGCTGCAGCTGCTGCTCCCGTGGAGGTATCTCTGGGGCAGTCCCCACTGTGCACCCTCATCGGTCCTGCTGGCTTGTGCCCAAGCCCTTAGCACCGTCCTTCACTTGCCAGAGCAATGGGATGTACCCAAAGAACGTGCCTGGCTTTCCCTTTGATTTTCATTTTGATGTGCTAAATTTGGTCTGTTTGTAGAGAGGGGAGGAGGGCGGTGATTAGGCAGGAGTGGAGAAGCTGAATGTAGCGTGGTTTTTCTGTGCTGTTAATTATATATTTTGCATTTCTTATAGCACCTCATCTCAAAATGATTTACAAACTCTGATGGCTTGGGAGGGAGGGCTCCCCCGCTTTACTTTTTCTTCCTTTCCCTCCTGTGCGGTCTCAAATCTCTCTAATCTGCATGCCGACCATTGCAAGATGTGGGTGCTGTTGAGGCTGTGGAGCAGCAGAGCTTAAACCTCAAAGGATTCAGTTTTGCTCTGAGCCTTTGCCCTGTGGGACTTGACAGAGCTGGTTGGGTTACAGGGGGAGTCACTCACAGCAGGATTTGACCTGAGCGTCACGGGGCTGTTTGAGCAGGATCTGAAGGGTTCACAGAGATGCTTGGGTGGCATCTGGAGGCACTTCTCCTGTGAAGGATGCCACGGGAGGGAATGCTCCAGGTTTTCCAGGACTGCAAGGCAGTGAAGTTGAAACCAAACCCCACAACACTGGTACTCCCTTTCGGGGATAATAAGAGACAAACTATAGCTGGGTGCTTGCATGTTGAAAACCCGACATTTTTTAGATTTATTTATCATTCATGGGGCAAAACCCAGTCCTTGGCTCCTCAGGCGGAGTTGAATTGGGTGTGTGTTTTGTATGTTAGTCCCAGGCTTTAGCTTGGTCAAAACTTCTGGCTTCACTGGTGGCTTTGCTTGAGGCTGGAAAGTTTCATAAATCACCTATTAAATTAACCATGCTTTGGGAAGCTTTTGCTGTAAGGGGTTTGTTTGATCTGATGTGCTTTACTCAACATAAGCCTGGGCTGGAGAATATTTGTTGCTCCTGTTTTCCCTGTGGTTGTCATGCTGGAGGGTTTTTCCCTCCCCCTGTGCAGAGTTTGGACACAAACACTTCTCCCTTTGTTGTCACTTCTAAAGAGAACTCCTCTGGGCTGGGGAGAGCCTCTATGCCCAGCTGAGCCTGTACAGATGCAAACTCCCCACTCCACCACCTGCCCTGAGCTGCTGCCCAGCTGTGAGCAAAGGTGTTCCGTGACACCCAGCATTTCTCATTTGCACTGAGCTGTTGCTAGAGCAACATCTTCAGCAAGCATTTCCCCTCTCCAACATGAAGCTTTTCTCCTTCCTTCCCCCTGCAAGCATCCCTGTGCTCTTGGATGCTGCCTGGGTCGAGGACATGCCGATACCCATTGCTGTGCTGCAACGAGGGGAGCAAACTCTCTGTGCTTAATGCAGTATTAATAGTACATTGATGTGATATAGATTTCTGTCACCCTCCATACTAGCGAGCATCACTTATCACGCAGGGATGAGGGATGTTTATTCCCAGCCACTTAGCTCTGCATAATGGAATTGCAGCTGAAATATGGAGAGCAGCTCCCTGCCTGTGGAGCTGGAGGCCTCTCGCTCCCTCTGTGCAGTGCTGTCCCATGGGATCTTCTTCTTAATGTGTCCTCAAGGAGACAGAGATCTGTTCTTCGCTGGGAATGTGCTGTCCTCATGTCGATGGGATGAAGGGCACAGGAACCAGACCTCACTTCTGGATTTCTGGGATTTTTGCACTTGTCTTACCCTCTTTCTGTTACTGCCTGACTTAGTGCAGAGGGGAGACAAGCTTGACTCAGAATTCTCTTTCCCTTCCTGGGTGAGGGGTTCTCAAAGAGCCACGGAGGACACCACCACCCTGTTTTCTCATGTTGAAGCATTTATTTGTGAGAAATGCTCCCCCATCTCTGTGCTGTAACTCTGGGCCATGCTGGGTTTGCATCCTGTCCTTGCTTCAGCTGTCCTTAACCCTCCCTACCTGGAGGGTTAAGAAAAGAGTTTGGCAACGTGGACAGTCCAACACAAGTGGACTTCAGAAGAATAGGCTAAAACTGCCTTTTTCTCCTGATCTGGTGCCACACGGAAGGGAAACCAAGTTCATATCTGTTCGGCAAAGAGCAACAGGTTGAGATGAGTTTGCACCTCTATATCTGGAAATAAAAAGATCAGAGGAGAAGAATGGGACTCATGGCAAGCACAGTGGGCAGAGAAAGTGATGAGGATGAGAGTTTAGGACTACATAACATCAGCCTATGGTCAGAGATTTTGGTAATGCAAAACATGATCCAGCCTACCCCCATTTGTGGCCAGAATTTGGTTGTTTGTCCTTCTGGCAGGCCTGGCAATAGTAGCAGCTTCTTATGTTATCTCCCTCTCTTGAAGTTCAGGATTTGATTTCCCAAAATTCAAGTTTCGTAATTAGGAGTAGCTGGAGATTTCTGTGGTGAAATATTGGTAATGTTGCAGAAGAAACATTTTGGAAGGTCATTTTACTTTAATAATAGTAATTAACTAGTAATTAATTCTAAGACAATGCATCAGATGCAGATTAGTTCTTGGATCTGATCTCTTGAGCTTTACTCAAATGCCACAGCACAGTTTTGGAGTTGTTCAGTTCCCTTGTATTTCTCATCTAACAAAACAGGTCTTCTGGAGAATTACACAAATTGGAGAAAAAAAATCCAAACCCTGATGAAGAAAATTGATCTGGGAGGCAGATCCCCACCTGCATCCCAGCAGTGGATGCTCAGTTGCAACAAGTAATGTGAAGCTGAACTTTTGGGGCAAACTCTTTGGTTTCGAGGAGGTTTTTGCCAGCCACGACTGGAGCTGGCTGTGTTTCCAGGACTGGCGCAGTCTGGGGACTGGGATGCGTTCTCCACACGGGTGGAGCAGCCGTCCTTTCCTAGAGTCCTAATGAGGGTTTTTTTCAACCTCATTTATTACAGGCTGCCCTGACATAATTACATATTCAAAGTTAGTAATTACACGTATTCATGCTAATTAAGTAATTAGATATAATTACACGAACTGTAAATACGTGGTAATCGGCTAAAAAGAAGTACTTCAGAAAAAAACAAGGCAAATCACACAATAAAAGCACCATCAGCACTCTTTCACTCAGTACCCTGTCTTTATCTTTTATTTCAGTGCAGCTTAAAAGGAACATTGTGGTCATTTCAAAAATCATATTTCTTAAACATAGATTTTCTTACCTCTGCTTTCAATAGCTCTCGAAAACTAAAATGAAAAGGATATTTACCCTTAGAACTGTTAATTTTTTTTGTTTGCCTAGTGTGTTTTGTTCATCCTGGGCATGGGAAGATAAAAAGTATGCAGCATTTCTATTTTTGGTCAGTTCATGGTCCCATTTTTGCCAAAAACAGCAACAACATAAAACTGAAGTCATAACTGCTTGTAATTTTATTTGCCTAAAAAAGAAAACTGAAACAGTTGGTAGTGGAAAAGAAACTTTTCCTTTTTTTTTTTTTTTTTTTTTTCCCCCCCCAGGGATAAGATAATTTGTCAAATATTCTTTTTATGTAATATAAATGTGGAGCACGGGGTGAAGTGACAGCAGCACTCTGCTTCCCCATGCCCAGCCTGGGGCTGGGCTCCACAGGTTTCAGTCCCTCACACAGAGCTCTGGTGTTTCTCCAAACTATTTTTTCCCTCTTGTCTCCTCTGAAATGAAGTCCCCAGGCTCTTCTCCAGAAGGATCCAGCTCCCATTACTCTTCTGAAATAGGCATTTCAGAAGAGAAGACTCTTCTGTGCTG